GTATGTAAATTATAAATTTTGCTGCTCCAGAAAAATATTGTTCAAGAAGATTTAGCCCAACTAACCGATGGTTTTGTGCCAGTTCTTGGGCATAGTACACACCAGCTGCTTTCCTATTGGACATCTCCTCTTTTGTACATATTAGGCTCAGGTCTGATATTTTGTACAGATTATGTTTAGATTTTTTGAGTATTTAATCATTTAATGATTTTAATGATTTGATCTTTTTTCCATGTAATTATTGAGCCATTGGCATCAGCCATTTTTATATTATTAATACATTATATTTTACTTTCAATCTTTCATCTAAAGCTTGTATACCATATCAATTTGGCCAGAATAAATAAATGACAAGAAATGTGTGAGGAAAAAAAACATGGTTTAATCTGGATATAGCTGTCCACAAAATGTCAGGAAACAGCAATTATTAGGACAACATGATTCTTATTGCATTTATAATTAAATTGTTTGAAAAGTATATGCATTTTTTACTGAAGCAGCAATTCAAAGAGGAAAAGCACTTTATTATATGATTATGATTTAATTTCTGCAGCATTTTTCTATTGCACATAGGTTTTTGCACAGTGTTAGCATGTTTTCAGTCACTGTGGGCACCAGAGCACAGTAGTACAGAGCAGAGTCAGTCACTTCAGCAGAGGAGATCTCCAGATTCACACGTTTATCACTCATACTCATTTCTCCATCCACTCTAGGAATGGGAGGTTTTGCATGTATAACTGTCTTTGTTGGCGACTCGATGACAAGCAGCAGAAATTCCAGTCCTGATCCAGGATACTGTCGATACCAAAGCAAACTCTGGACACTGACATCATATTTACATGACAGAGTGACTGTCTTTCCCTCAGTAACTTGTGTCGTGCCCTGCAGTGGTGTGATATTTTGCGCAAAGCATTCGTCTGCAAAATGAGAAGATGTTGTTTAAAAAGAAAGTGAATGGAAAACTGCTAGTGAATTAAAAAACTGCATAATCTTTGCATTTGGATTGATATGTATCCAATGTATAATAAATAACTATATTTGAGTTTTGTCAATTTTAGTAAAAAACTTTTCTGTTGGTTTAGAAATCCTTGGCATTTAGCCCCGTGTAAGCCTGACATTTTATTCATTATGGGTTTAAAATGTTTTTAATTTGAATTGATAAAACCTGCAGAAATCCTAATGTCTATATTGTGTATAAATTGCATAAATTGGATATTTAACTGGATTCTTACATACCTTGTATTACTGTCAGCAGAAGCAGGGAGCACAGGAACATAATGACTGCACTGTAAACACTAAATGAAGCTGTGATAGAGAATTGAAAGTGCCTCTTGAGTATCTTTCTAAGCTCCACCTACTGTACACATCTCATCATCTGAGAGCTGAAGATTAAATAAAACTAGTCAGAATAAAAAAGGCAGAGAAACCATGAGAAAAGACATGTGAGAATGTGAAATGTACATTTGTAATGGACCCATTTTCCGTTTTTTTTTTAGTAGCTGTAGTCGGCATAACTTAGAGCACTGTGAATGGTAGAATACAAAAAAGAACTTTTTACAATCTTATTTGCTCAAATAACAAAAGAAAAACTTCACGATGGTGTTATCAAGACTTTCATAAAAAGGAAAAAAAATTGTGTGAGACTGATAACGGCAGCCGGAGGAGAGAATTACGCCACACACGTTTAAAAAGATTTTAATAAAAAAACTTTCAAAGATTTAAGATGCTGATGACCGTTAAACATGCCATGACAGGCTTGTGAAAAGGGTCTATAGTAATAATAATAATAATTTTTTTAAGGGATATTTAATAGTAATAATTTGTGAAATAATCACATTGTGTGTTATAAAGCAGATGCAGACAAAAGACTTGCAGATTCAAATGCAGTTTATTAAAGGTGAGGTTGTACAGGCAGTGATCATAAACGGGAGCAAAACAGTATCACGAGTAATCCAAAAGACGAGGTCAAAATACAAACAAGAGGTCAGACTAAGCGGCAACAAATCAAAACGAGGAACAAGGCAAGAATCAAGAACACTTGATAACAAACCAGTAAAAATGCTTTATAATGTTCAGTACAGAAACAAGATGCAGCAGTGTGTGAGTGAAAGTAACGTGGGTGTGTGCGTGTGTGTGTGTGTGTGGTTCTTGTAATCAGTGAAAATGAGCAGTAGCTGTGTCTGTGTAAATGTCCAGATTATTGTCAGCTGCTGTAGGAGTTGATGAGTGCAGAGAGTTATAGGAGTTGTAGTTCATTAGGAAGTAATCTTCAACAGAGAAAACACTGCTGGCAATTACAACAGACTACAGGAAGTGTAATTGGATCAAAAGATTTTAGTTTATATCTAAAAACAACACTGCCAAATTAAAGTTTAATCGTGAAACTATGCATAACATAATATAATATAATTCAATATAAGGAAATGTAATTTAATATAGCTTTTTCAGTTTATTTTTAAAGTGGATTTATAACCATTTTCTTAAGTGTTTTTTTTTTCTTTCTTTTTTTATATTAGGTGAATATCCATATTTAGCTTCAACGTACATGTCTGTTTCAGTTTCAGAGATCCGCAGGTGTAACCACAACCTCATTATGACCTGTAACCTATAGCAGGTTTCAAGTACTAATACACAGAGATTGATATCAGTTTAACCTAGAACTGTGCTTGAAACGACTTATTTTTAGACACCAAAGAACTGCTCTGAGAACACACCAATGAGGCTGAACATCATAATACTTTACTTACAGTTAAAATGAGTAAACATTTAATTAATTCAATACAATTAGTACAAGTATGTAGTATGTGAATGTTGTTTTTGTAAACTAATAAGTTGTTTTTCAGGGAATTTATTTCTTTTTTACTTTAGGATGCATTTATGATGCTCCACACATTAAACACATTTCCCAGTGTCAGGTTTTTGTACAGTATTGTTGTGTTTCCTGTCACTGTGGGCTTCAGGGCACAGTAATACACAGCAGAGTCTGATACTGTAGCAGAGGAGATCTCCAGATCCACAACTTTCTTAGTTTTGTTGATTTTCGGCGTTAAGCGCTCTGGTATGTTGTCACTCTTCAGTCCGCTTTCGTAGATGTAAAGGAGGAACATTGGTGTCGATCCGGGATATTGACGGTACCAGTGAAGATTATCAGGTGCTCCACTGTAGTTACATGCAAGTTTTACATATTCCCCTTCAAATGCTTGTTTTTGTGGGTCATGGGATGTTATCATGTTTGTCTGGATGATACCTATGAGAGCCAGCAAAATAAAACAAGAAGATTTTTACAGATCACAATCACACAATCTTTTTATTGGTTTATTCTTAATATAACAAACAGTAGCATACAAAATGCATACAAAGATTGTTTACAAATTTAGAAAAAATGATTAGAAAAACAATAACAAATGCATAAAGATAATCCTACAGAGACCAGCAGGGTAAACACGTTCATAGTGTAAGTGAAAATTTAATTCTCCTCTTTATCCATTTCCTTATGATCACCCTTCATTTTGGCTAACATTGTTTTCATATAACACATTCTCAATCATGCATCCATTCATAATTTAAGTGTAGGGTATTAAATGTCTTTCCAAAACCTCAGAATTCTACGTGCTGCTGTAGTTATACTGTCTTTTGCCTTTTTTATTAAAAAAATATTAATCAAAGCAATTAAATTATTGTTTAATGAAAGTCACTAATTTTGAAAATAATTAATCAGAACTCACCTATATGAAGAAACAAAATGACAAAGACAGAAAGATGCATGTTGGTTGATGCTGTCAGAAAGACTAACAGTGAATGAGGTTTTCACAACAGAAGACAACCTCAAGTCAAGTCATGTCAAACTAGTCTGAGAGCTCCACCTCTTGAAACATTGCTGTACCTACTGTACTGGAAGACAAAAAGACAAAAAAAAAAATTCTCAAATGAGTTCACTGGTGCAGTTTTCACTTGTGTGCTCAAGTAATCAATCGCCAGGCTTTGACATTACATTACAATCACATCCACTACTGAAGAATATTCAGTATAATGATAAAAGCACTCAACAAATGTGAGATTTTTGTTGGTCTGTTTTACATCAAGTACTAAATTAATCTCACTGGTACAGTGTAGAACACATGTAAAAGTTCATAGTTTTATGCAAGATCACACCCTTATTGGAATCTTTACCTGAAGGACAAAACAAGGCTTTGACCACCGTTCATTTTTAACCTGGTTTATTATTGAGTCCTATTGTAGTTGGATGATGTCAAAAGACAAATGAACAATTGTTGATTTAAACTACTTTCTGCTGTCATAAATATAACTTCACAACTTTGCTTAGAATATAAGTGCAAGATGCTAAATTGTATACAAAATGTTTCCTATAGAGATTATTTTTAGTTATAAAGAAAGTGTTAATATTGCGTTATGCTTGTGTAGTATACATCATCAGTGTGTGTATTTGGTGTTTTAATTGACCTTTTTTAAACCTCATTTGCTGAACAAATGTCTTGTTTGTCTTATTTTAGCATTGCCTCTTTTGAGAGAGGTTTTACATATTTGTTGCATATAACAAATGAAAGCTTGACTTTATTGGTGATTTAATTTTTTTGTCCTTTGGAGGGCATATATATTTTCATGCATAAAATATTTACAAATTTGTGTTGGTCTGTGTATTGATGGATAAAAAATATCAAATATATGGTTTAATCACTTCCCATGTTGACAAGAGAGATGTAAACAGTGAAATATTAATTTTAAGACTTTTCATTTTGACGTTTCTGAAACATCTGGATCCATTTGAGTTCATTTTGAACCAGTAGATCCGCATACAAATTTAAAAAAACTGGTTAAATAATTTTTAGTAAAGGAACCAAGTTATCAACCATTAATTAATCAATAATTGAATAACAATTTAAACAATTTTAATTTATTTTTCTACTTTGTGTACTAATAAAAAATGTACTTATAAAAACCATTTATTCACCATGATCAGAGTCAATATGATCTGGTCCAAGCAGATCTAACAAAGATAAAAGTCAGATACAGATTTAGCATGTATTGTTAGGGTTCAATGTTTTATTTTGATTGAATATTTATTAAATTTAAAAATTTTGACAGTTCACTTATAAAACCACTAAATAATGAATAGATGATAAAAATCCCACTGTCAATTTAGGATTACTGTATGTGTAAAATAAAGGTATTCCACGTGTTGCAGTGTTTGGACATCATTAATGTATGTCATGCACTTGTGAAGTCAGGTTCAGGTTTTTGTACGGCGCTGATGGGTTTCCTCTCACTGTGGGCTTCAACGCACAGTAGTAAACTGCCGAGTCTGTTAGTTTGGCAGAGGAGATCTTCAGATCCATAGAGGCTTTCTCTTTATGTAATCTCACTGACATTCCAGGCTGCATGTTTTCAGAGGTTTCACTTTTTGTTAGTATCAGAAGAAGGCAATGTGGATTTGATCCTGGATATTGACGATACCAGTATAAAGAAAGTGCTGTGGAGTAGTTGCACGACAGCGTGACTTTATTCCCACTTTTCCCATACACCTCAGTTTGGGCTGGAGTGATGACATCGCCACAGCTGACACCTAAAAAACGGTCTTGTTTACTTTCTTTAGATTTATGATGACCTGAGGTGTTTTGGTAATTTTTTGCAAGTCTGACCTCTGTAGGATTAACTGTATAGGTCTAATAAATAAATGATAAAGACAAATCTATGAAGTCTGTCGTTACAAGAAGGAATTTTTGAAAGATAATCAGAAATGTGTCTGCTTACCTCCAAATGTGGATAGAAAGCCAAGCAAACAGAGCAGCATTGTTGAGGCCGATGTTCTGACTGACAGCTCAGCTTGTAGTTAATCTATTTTTAAAACCACTTCCTCAGGATGGCCTAGATGCTGTCAAAACACCAAACACCTCCTACTGACCCCAAACACACACACATTTTAACAAGACCTGTAAGGTGAGTGTTTTATTTTAGTTCATTTTACCCTGGCCTAGAAACTCACAATAGTCGAAGCTGAAATTTAGCCACAAAACAGTCATGATGTCAAAATTAAACTACTGTTGAAGAAAAAACTGTGATTGCTTTAATAATTGTTTCATTATAGACACGTGTCAGTTATAGATTAAAAGCAAATGAATGAATTTTTGAATGAATGAATTTTTAAAAATTCAATAATAAAAAAAAAGTTTTTACAAACTAATTTCGAGAGGAGCTTAGGATATGATTTGACTGCAGCTGGTCCCTAGTGTTAATCATTAGCTAGAAATCGGATTATTCCAAATTTAGCATAAATATCCAGCCTAATTCACTCCCTATCTTTGTTTTGGAAGAACCCCCCATCAATCCCTTCTCCCTCCTTCTAGATTCTAGGATCAGGTGACACGGCGGCTCAGTGGCTAGCACTGCTGCCTCACAGCAAGAAGGTTGCTGGTTCAAGTACTGAGCCAGTCGGCACTTTTTGTGCAAAGTTTTTGTTTTCCCCGTGTTCGCTTGGGTTATCCCTGGGTACTCCGATTTCCTCCCACAGTCTAAAGACATGTGACACATGTGAATTAAATAATAGTAACAGTCACAAGCACTTAATCAACACAATTATTGAGTTTTTCTGGACAACTTAATTTATGTTCAGTTTACTTAAATTTATAAGTCAACTTAATCAAATTTTGTTGCGACAACTTGAAGTAATTCTGTCAATTAACAATTACAATTTTGATGTGAACAAATACAGCATAATTGAAATTATTTAGTTAATTCAGTTTTTCACTGCAATAAAAATAAAGCATGAAGGCATATTTAGTCCATTTCATAATTTGTTTTTAAATTCTATTGTTTAAAATCAAAGCAGTCATGAGGAAGAAATTATGACAGGCCTTAAGCACATGCATAGCTGTAGATATTTTTAAAATGATTTTACATGGAAGTTTTTCTTAATGAGTGTGTGTGCGTACACTGCATGTCAGAATGTATGATTTGTGCTTCATTAATCACTTGGTTTTGGCTTCATTATCAGTTGCAGGTGTTCCTACATACAGTAATGGTTATGCAGATAATACACTTTGGTTTGGCTAATACTTTGATGTTTTTGAATTCGAAGTATGAGAGTTTTTGTACAGCTTCTTATGAACTTTGTATCATTGTGCTTTTCCAAAGAGCACAATAATAGAGAGCTGAATCTGTCAGAGCCGCTACTTTAATAATCAGCTCAGTGGACGTTCTGCTTGTAGAAGATTCAAAATGAGAATCTGGCATATGCTTCTCACCATCCCTTGCTCTGGCTCCCTTCCATAGTAAATACTGTGGTTCACTTTTAGGATAGTGTCTGTACCAGTAAAGATCAACATGTTCACTATTTGTTTGGTACGAACAACTCAGTGTCACCCGGTCAGTTTCACTTCTGAAAATTAAAGGCTCATCTGGTCCAATGGTATCACCAAAAGCAACTAGAAAACAAGTTCAAATGTGTCATAAGATATTATTGTCTTTTTAACTTATAAATTAACATGCATTTAAAATTTTAATAAATACCTGATGTAGCTATGAGAATTAGTAGTACTGATCTCATCCTGAAAGTTGAGTACTTAAGATCAATTAAGATGTTGTGTGTTTCTGTAAAGTATCAAGTGGTTAATGAAACCATGTCATGTTAGCATGTGCACATGCTTTTATACCTGTAAGTGAAAAGTGCTGCCCTCTCGAGGCTCGCTTCCATACTTGTTGATCAGATGGTTTCTATATGTATGAGTAGGTTTTTGTATGGTGCGCGTGTGTTTCCTGTCACTGTGGGCTGCAGTGCACAGTAATACACAGCAGAATCCTTCACATCCGCGGGGAAGATTTCCAGATTCACCAGCTTTTTGTCTTTATTAACTGAGGTGGTCAGTCGGGGGTGAGGCGGTGTCGCAGTTTGATTTTGTCCTGACTCCATGATTAGAACCAGGAATTCTGGCTTAGCATTGGGATATTGGCGATACCACTGCAGATTATTCATGGACACTGTGTACTTGTATTCACAAGAAATTCTGGCTGCTTCCTTTTCTTTTACATGGACAGCAGGAGATGTTGGAGTAATGCTGTCTTGTCTGCTGGTGCCTGAAAAGAATGTTTGATTAGTAGTTTAAAGTCAAATTTATTTGCATATGTAGATTACTATGCATTGCAGAGTGTTTTGAAGAAGCTTTACAGGAACTGATGCAAAATTGATTTTAACATTAACTACGAAAGATAATTGTTACTCTTTAGTTTAATTAATGTTGCAAAGTTCCTCAAATCTGATTCAGATATAAAGCTGCTTCAGATACAAAAAACATGATCTAGCCAGATTACACCTGTGTTTCAAAGCAAAGTTACTGCAATGTTCATGTGGAAAGAAAGAAAATGAATTTAAAGAACTGAAATCTTACCAATGAATGTGATTATAACTAGCAGCAAACAGAAAGACATTGTGGAGAGTGTTGGTTTCTTCACTGAGCTCTGCAGAATTGCCATAACAGCCTGCTTACAGAAAACTGAAGCTCAACAGCCAATCAGGGAGCAGTGATGTCACTGACAGGTTCAGTAGAGTTAAACTCAAAACCTGATGCTTTTGTTTGACGGGCCATAACTGAGTGTTTTGTAAATTATTTGTAGCTCACTGACCTTTACTAGAGTAAGAAGCTGGATAAACATACCGTATACAAATGGTAATGTTTAAAATGTACAGTACATTCATTCATTCATTTTCTTGTCAGCTTAGTCCCTTTATTAATCCGGGGTCGCCACAGCGGACCATCTCTGGGAAAACATCCACACACACATTCACACACACTCATACACTACAGACAATTTAGCCTACCTAATTCACCTGTACCGCATGTCTTTGGACTGTGGGGGAAACCGGAGCACCCGGAGAAAACCAACGCGAAAGCAGGGAGAACATGCAAACTCCTCACAGAAACACCAGCTGAGCCGAGGTTCGAACCAGCGACCTTCTTGCTGTGAGGTGACAGCACTACCTACTGCGCCACTGCCTCGCCCCCTGTACAGTACATACATTTTTATAATAATTTTACATGTCATTAATGTTACATACATTTTATTTGACTTTTTTTTTGGTTGATTGAATAATTGAATAAGCAGTGGCAGACTAAGCAGAATCTCACTAAACGGATGCATGCATGTGAAAGGAAAAATTACACACATTTACATTATTAATTGTCCCCATTTTAGTTGAAGAAATGTCATCATACCAATGTGGTATCCAACATGATTGGATGAAACATTTTATTACTGCACTTATTGCAATTATTAATGAAAGTGAAGATGCCAGAATGTACTGTACATTTAATCCATGGAAAATGACATGACTACAATAATTTTGACATATTACATTCAAAAATAATTCCGACAACAGGACACTTACCTTAATTTTGCCATACGGTAATGTTAGACTTTTTTTACTTTAAAGTAAATCTAACTTTTCACAAATACTGCTATCATTATTTTTTACATTTCCAATAGATGTAATGTTTTTTTTAATACTTTGCAGTCTATCTCCCCTTAAATCCAAACCTCCCAGGAAACAATCTGCATTTTCACATTTTCAAAATGCTTCATTCTGTGGGATTTATGCACCATTTTTATCAGGGGCACAAAGCCAAATGACCCCTGAATGTCCAAATTTATTTATTATGCATGCAAATCCTTTATTATTCAACATACTAAAATGCCATAGATAATTTTCCAAAGGCACAAAATTAGATCATTGAATTATTGCTATTGTCTTTTGTTTATTCTGTGAGAGTGGCTGCTAAATGTGTGTTGTGAAGTTCAGGTTTTTGTTGTAATCCTTAGTATCCTGTGCTCACAGTGGGCCTCAAAGCACAGAAGTAAACTGAAGAATCAGACAGAAGAAGGTTTCGTACAGTCAGAGTAACTTGTCCCATAGCAGAATCCAACCGGGACTGATATCTGTTGTTGGGGAAGTCTTTGGAATTACTTCCATTTCCCAAATTGTGCCTTACTAAAATATATTGTGGTGGGAAATTCTTTGTTTGCCGGTACCATAGCAGAGCAGGCATCGAGTCTGTTGTATAATATTCACAGCTCAAGGTTATGGTTTCTTCTGTGAAAGCAGATACAGAAGCTGTTGGCTGACGTACAGCGTCTTCACATCTGCATTCTACTGTACAGCACAAAACATTAGTTAAACAAACATTTACAAACACCATTGAAATGAAACATATCAAGTTAAAAAAGTGCTGTACATCACCTAGAAAAAATAAAATGATAAGAATTTGTTTCAGCCAAGTTGTGATGGTGGAATGAGGACTCATGATGGATTGCAGAGAACTGAACAGCAACTTCTGAATGTTCAATGTTGTGTTTTCTTTTGCACAGCAAATTCAGCTTTCATTGTAGGTTGAATGTTGGGTACTCCCTGCTGGTATAATGTAAAACTGCAGCAACATCCTTATGAATTTTCATGATCTTGAAATTGTTCAAAATAACTACATTTAACTACTCAGTTTTTGATAAATTCAGAGGTATTATAGAGATACTGTATCAGGTAGGTAATGAGAGTCAAAATCAGAAAAAAGTATAGTCTTTAGTGTTTAACATTTTATGTACTATAAACAGCTAGAATTTAAACCTAAATAATGATAAAAAAAATAGTTTGCTTGCCCAGGTTCAAAACAAATATGTAATCCTTCTCATGTGTTCTGTTTGTATGAAGGCTGATTCTTGATCTCATTATAGAGCACAGAAATGAAAGCACCATAGATATCTACATTAGATGTTACTACACTGTTGTTGTCTTTTGAAATGAATGCGGGACCAATCTGCAGTGGAGGACTGTGGCCATCCAGAGCCAGAGAGTTACACATATACGCATATATCTATGATCGTGAGTTTTCCTCGAGGTCAGTATGCAATTTTTTTTTTAATTCCAAAACTTTTTTTTAACAAAAATTTTACATCACTTTTCTACATTGATGGATTAGTGATCGCACAAGCGTTCCTGACAAAAAGCTTGTGTTTGTATTGAAATGTACTATCCCCCAACTCTGTTAAATTTGATCTAATCATGTCCTGAAACACACCTCCTCTCCTGCTTTCACTTCTCATACTGACGGAGGGAGCGACTTGTTTGTGAATGAATTTTGAGCGTTTAGTTCACTAGCTGACAATAATACCAGTTTCTGGCAGCGCAGCATCTCGTTGTCATGTTTCTTTTGCATTGTTTGCTGATTGTATTCAACAAAACTAGCATAAGCGTGTGTTTTAGTGCGAGTTGGTGCTACTTTGCCTTATGGTAAATACAGTAAGTGCTGTATTATCATCAATAACGTGACCTGTTTAGCACAAAAGTTCATAACATACAAAAACATAAATCTTACCTATGAAATGTTCTGCCTTTGTGCGTTGTTTTCTTTGTTTGCTCGTTACTATAATCGTAGACGGAGCACCCGTAGACAGTCCAGTATCTTCACATAATAACACTGTCTTGACTAGTGCAGTTGAATGACACTTCTCCTGGGAGCACTGCACAAATATTGACGCTATTGACGCATGCTCAGGGTCCCTATGCGATATCTAGTGTATATATGTATGTGAAAGCACAACCAAGAATAAAAAAGAAATTTCCCTGGTTAATTTTTACACAAACAACTTTTAATTAGATGACGGCAATCTATTTTGCATATACACTTTGTATTAGGCACGGGCCGGTATAAGATTCTGATGGTATGATAACCTTGGATAGAAAATATCACTGTTTTACGGTATTGTGATTACTGCTCTAAAATATATTCTTTTTAAATGTCAGGGTAGAAGCAAAAACTCCCCCCCTTAAACACAATATATTTCATTTTGAAAAGCATTTAAAATATTTTGGAGCTGTAAACACTGGAGATACTGTTGTTAAATAAAAAATCGGTCATACTGTATACAGCAGGCACAGTATAGCAGGATATGTTGGCAGTTTTAAAACCTGATTTTTCTAAACCACGGTACCTTGAAAAGGGTTATCGTCCAATGCCTACTTTGTATGTAATTGAGCCCTAAAATAAATATTTTTGACTCATTATATTGGTCAATGTGCTGTGTGTAAAGGACCACTAGAGGGCAGATTAATCTTGGTATAGTCAAAAAAGCTAGGCTTTTATGATGGCTAAGCAAAGCTTTCTTTTGAGCTTTTTTATAGTGGCATTTTTCTACTGTGTATTATTAGGAATTTGACATCTCTTGTTTCTTATGCTATGTATTACTTTAAGTGTGATGATAGGGAATTGTTTGTTATGAAGATATACCACATCATTAGAAATTGTTTGGCTTAGAAAGTCATACAATTTGAAAGTTTTATGCATTGCCTTGCATTTTTTAAAACATTTATATGTGAAAAGGAACTATTTGTGATGTGTTTTTTCACTTTTCTTCTGCACAAGCAAGTTTTTGTACAGTGTTGTTGTGTTTCCTGTCACTGTGGGCTCCATAGCACAGTAATACAGTGCTGAATCTGTCACTTTGACAGAGGAGATGATCAGATGAACTTTGTTTTTCTTTTCATTCAGCATTGCCTCAAACCGAGAATCCAGATTCTGTGCAGTCTGGACCCGTCCAGTGGTTTGCAGAACTAATAGAAGAAATTCAGGTGCTGATCTGGGTAAATGGCGGTACCAATGCAGACTGATTGCTGATGAGTAACTGCAGGACAAAGTGACATTGGCATTCTCCCTAGGAAAGACCTCAGTCTGATCTGATGTGATGGGACTATCAGACTTTCCACCTGAAAAACAAAATGGTGATAGATGACACAGACTCTGACATACAACAACTAATTTAACTTTAATATAATATAATATATAATAATATAATAAAAAATAAAATATAATAATAATAATATCTGTAATAATATTAAATTTTTAATATAATAAAAATACAATAAAAGTATGAAAAATATTTAAAATTCTAAAATAGTGATAATAATGATAATTATTTTTATTAATATAATATAAAATAATTTAGTACATCATTTAGGAAGTCTCTGTTTATTTTTATAAACAAATGGCATAATTATGTTTGATTCAAAAGCAATATTGAGATATACTCACTGCTGATAACACAGAGCAGGATAGTTGTGGTGAGCAGCATTATGCTATAATGACTAGTCTGTGATAGCACTTGATCTTTAAGGGGTTTGAAGCTCCTCCCACATTTTGAGAGCAACACATGAGCACAATAAACTCAAGCCGGCAGGTTTTTGTACAGTAATATTTGATTTCCTGTCACTGTGGGCTGCAGAGCACAGAAATACAGCGCAGAGTCTTTTATGGTGGAAGAGGAGATTTGCAGATCTACACGGTTTTTCTCTTTGTTAAGTTTTCCTGACAGCCTGTCGTCTGAACGCTGTATCATTTGTCCAGTGCTTTGTTGGATGAGCATGAGGAACTGAGGACCGGATGCATCATGCTGTCGATACCAGTGGAGACT